ATGTGGGCACTTAATGCTATGAACGTCCCCCATAGCACTGCTTTCATAGTGTTCCATAGGTTTGGGTATGGTGTATCTTCATTCTTATTGAATTCTAGGAAGTCTTCATTTCTTTTCTATTATTTCTTTGACCCAGGAATGGTGCAGTTGTGCATTATTCAATTTCCATGAGTTTATAGGGTTTCTGCAATTTTTGTTGTTGTTGAATTCTAATTTTAACGCATGGTGGTCTGATAAGATGCAAGGAGTTTTCCAATTTTTTGTGGCTGCTGAGGTTTGATATGTTGGTAAGTATGTGGTCGATTTTTGAGAAGGTTCCATGTGTTGGTGAGAAGAAGGTATATTCTTTTTTATGTGGATGAAATGTTCTATAGATTTCTGTGAATCCCAGGTGGGTCATTACTCCTCTTAGACCCTTTGCTTCTTCGTTGAGTTTCTGTCTGGCATTCCTGTCTAGTGGTGTGAGTGGGATGTTGAAATCTCCCACTATAATTGTGTAGGGCTTTATGTGTGATTTAAGTTTTAGTAATGTTTCTTTTATGAACGTAGATGCCTTTGTATTTGGGGCATAGATGTTCAGGATAGAAACTTCATCTTGGTGAATTTTGCCTGTAATGAGTACGTAATGACTTCCTTCATCTCTTTATATTGATTTTATTTTAAAGTCTAATTTGTTAGATATTAGGATTGCTACCCCTGCTTGTTTCTTGTGTCCCTTAGATTAGAAAATCTTTTCCCAACTTTAACTCTCAGGTAAAGTCTGTCTTTGAGTATGAGGTGTGTTTCTTGTATGCAGCAGAAGAAGGGGTTCTGTCTTCGAATCCATTGTGTTAGCCTGTGTCTTTTTATGGGTAAGTTAATGCCATTAATCTTGAGGGATATTAATGACCATTTATTGTTCATTCTTCTTTGATTTGGAATGGTCATTGTTGGTGGAATTATGTGTGGAATTCCACCCCTTTGTTCTTTTGGCTGTTTGTAAAATGAGATTCTCTAAGGCCTGTGTTTTTCTGGTTATATTTAAATTCCTTGGGTTGGAGTTTTCCTTCCAAAACTTTCTGTAGGGCTGGGTTAGTGGATACTTACTGCTTGAATCTAGTTTTGTCATGGAATATCTTGTTTTCTCTGTCTATAGTGATTGAGAGCTTTGCCTGGTATAGTAGTCTAGGCTGGCATCCATGGTCTCTTAGTGTTGGTAGAATATCTATCCAGGACCTTCTGGCTTTCAGAGTTTCCATGGAGAAGTCAGGTGTAATTCTGATAGGTCTGCCTTTATATGTTACTTGACCTTTTTCCTTAGCTGTTCTTAATATTCTTTCTTTATTCTGTATATTTGGGGTCTTGATTATTATGTGGTGAAGGTACTTTTTTTGTGATCCACTCTACTTGGTGTTCTGTAAGCTTCTTGTACTTTCATTGGCATGTCTTTCTTAATTTGGGAAAGTTTTCTTCTATCATTTCGTTGAGTATGCTTTCTGCCCCTTTGAGGTGGTTTTCTTCACCTTCTTCTATACCTATTATTCTTAGGTTTGGTCTTTTCATGGTGTCCTATATTTCCTGGATGTTTTGTGTTAAGGGTTTGTTGGACTTAAGATTTTCTTTGGTTGATGAATCCATTTCTCCTAGTGTATCTTCAACACCTGAGATTCTCTCTTCCATCTCTTGTATTCTGTTGATAATGCTTGTATCTGTAGTACCTGACCGTCTGTCCAGCTTTTCTTTTTCCAGCCTTTCTTCAGATTGTGTTTTTTTTATTGTCTCTATTTCAGTTTTCAACTCTCGCACTGCTTGCATTGTTTCTTACAATTTTTGGTTTATCTTTTTGTTCATTTGTTGCATTTTATGAATTTTTTTGGTTAGTTCTTTCTTCCATTACTTGCATTTTTTGGTTTGCTTTTCCTTCCATTTCTTGCGTTTTTTGGTTTGTTTTTTCGTCCATTTTTTTTTGCATTTTTTGGTTTGTTTTTCATCTATTTCTTTGAGGGATTTTCCTATGTCTTCTTTTAGGGTCTCTATCAGTTTCATGAAGGTGTTTTTAAGGTCATTCTCTTCTGCTTCATTTGCATTGGAATGTTGGAGTCTTGCTGGTGTGGAGTCTCTATAATCTGGGGGTGTCCTATTTGTTTTTCTGTTGTTGAGTGTGTCACTGGAAGGCATGCCCTGTATGTGGGGGCCTTGCTTACCTGGTTCTGCTGGTTTCCTGGTCTCATTGGTGGAAGAGAAAACCTGGAATCTGGGGTGCTTTGCTCCTACCAGGATTGGAAGCTCTGTTCAGTTCCCAGGCAATCCCCAGGCATTGGAAATAAGGCCCGGGTGCAGGGCCTGTTTTACCTGGTCCTGCTGGACCAGCTGGTCCTCTGGTCTCCGTGTTGGAAGAGAAGACCTGAGATCTGGCATGTTTGGGTCCTTCCGGGATGAAAAACTCTGCGGCCTTCCCCAGTCACTGGAAGGCACGCCGGGATATGGGCCCTTCTTTACCTGGAACTCGATGGATTCATTTTTATTTATTATTTTGGGGGAAAGAGGTTTCTTTAGCCATAAAAATAGAAGAATCCTGATGAGTCCTATATACATGACGCTTTCTGCCTTCAAGTGTTAAAAGCACTCTTTAAAACACAGGGGTTATGGATCTGTTTCTCCCCGAAGCACTTCTGTGATTGCATATGCACATGTGATTTATTACATACAGTCCAGTGGTTCACAGGAGTCCCACAGAGTCCCACATACATCACAACTCCAACATGTATATGTCCTTGTTTGCACACAGAAAGGACTTATAACTAAGACTATTGTTAATTATGTCTATGTATTTGTATTTGGGCATGGCATGTGAGTACAGGTGCTTGTGGAGCTGGAGCTGGAGGTTGTTATCAGGCACCCAGTACAGGTGAGTGTTTGGAACTGAGCTCTGTCCCTCTGTAAGAGCTCTTAACCCATGAACCATCACTCCAGTTCCCAATATCTGAACTTCATGTCTGCAAAAGTTTCTGCATTTGCATAAGCAATTCACCTGATTTAAATATTTCTTGTTATAAAACACAGTAACTTATGATTTAATATTCTCAATTCATCTCCTACTGAGTCACTGTGAGGTCTCGGCTGATCAAATCTCTCATTGTGACATTTGCAGCTGTAGGACTGCCAGACTTTCAGCTGGTGTGAGTTCATCATCCCAGGGCAGAATGTCCAAAAGACTACACAGAGAGCACCAGGCACTCAAACAGAAACTCTTCCAGCCATTCTTTAGCAATGGTAAATGGGTAGGTAACTCATGAAAGTTGCAAATGTAGTGATAATTTCATGAGTGGAAGAGGGACTCATCTGTCTCAGAATTGTCTCTCCTTTTGACAGTGTGTGTTAACCTATGAGTTGAAGTTAATTAGAGCAGTGGGAAAGCACCTGCTGAGACACAGTCAGAGCCTTTTGCACAGAGGTAGATTCTCGCTGCTATATTGCAGAACCTTAATCTACATGATTATTTCCAGTCTTTTAATAAGCTTTTGGGGGGTATGTGTAATATTTATGTGCATGTGTGGGCATGTTTGTGTGTGTGTGTGCTGATGAGAATGTGGTGTGTTCCTTGTATTTGCATGTGGAGGCACAAGGATAACCATAGGTATTGCTCCATGGATGCTGTCTACTTTTGAGACCAGGCCCTCCCACTGGCCTTAAACTCCCTGATATGCCTAAACTGACTTTCCAGAGAGCCCCAGACACCCGCCTGTTCCTACTTCCCCAATATTGGGATTATTAGTGGGCATGGCCACGCATAACTTTTTCATATGGGTTCTAGGGATTGAATCCATGTCCTTGTGCTTGCACAGTGAACAATTCACCATCTGAGACACCTCTTTGCTTATATTTTAAGGTAAATTGCAATTGACCACTCTTTTGTTGAATTAAACAAAACAGAATTTTCTGGTTCCTTTCTTTTTAGCCACCATACTCTCTTTTGCTGAATGCTAAATATATTGCTGAGTAGTGACTAAACTGATGTTCTTGTAAAGCTAGCATGCTACAAATTTGACAGGCTGAGAACCTGTAGCCATGGCTCCTTCAGTGGAAAGGAAGTATGTCAGCATGCAAGGGGGTGTGCTGTGCTAGAGGAAGCAGAGGGAAGGTAAAGATTAAAACTGCTCTGTCTGGAAGTACATCCTTCAGGAAAAGACACAGTGTGACTTCTCCTTCCCTGTAGTATCATTGAGCCCTTACATAATATCTGATACTCACTGAAGCCTTTTCAGGTGAATGAGTGCCTACCAGGCCTTTTTTGTTGTTGTTTTTCATTGTTTGTTTGCTTTAAAATAAGAAACAGTCTCCCACTATGGCTGAAGCACAGCTATTTCCCTTAAATTAAAACATTCCATCTTTCATTAAAGGTGGGGGAAACAAAGAATTACTAACCTCTGGGAGCTCCTGAAATTCACAAGGCCACTATCCAGCAGTAACATCTACCAGGGAAATCAGACTCTCTGACCTATTGAGCTGCCTCCACACAGTAGACCTTGGGATGTGGTTCATGATCATTATCCATGCTGGGATGGATTTTCCTGTTATATAATTGTCATACACATTCATGTAAGTAACCCCTCACCCATACTCCATTAAGTAGCACAATGAACTCACTGGCTCCCTGAAATAGACTTGAGTTATGTTGCTTCTTTGGTTACTGGTCAGTGTCCTCATATGGTCTTCATAGGAAACATCAAACAGTAGGAGCCTTAGGAGTCAAGGCTGGCCTTGAACTCACAATTCTTCTACTGAGCCTCACAAATGCTGCAGTTGCAGGCATTTGCTATGATGTCTGGCCCAAATGCACAGTTTTTCCAGCACCAAGAATTTAAATGGAATCATCCCTTACAAATCAGAAATTGTAAGCAAGAGCCTTAAGTTTTAGAGGTGGAAGGAAAAGTCAACTATTTAGGCAGTTCACTAAATGGAGCATTCTAGTGCATGATCAACCTCATAAACAAAACATGCACATTGGTTGTGATTGGGCAGCAAACTTCTTTAATAACCATCTGTCAGGCAGCATACTCCATAAACCATCTGCCGTGAAATGAGCATGAAAAAAATACGTTGCTCCTGCAGCTTGGTGGGTGACTAGATTAGAAGTCAAGGCTGTAGCCCCAGTGGATGGGATAAATTGTTGTCAGAAAGCAGCAGGAATCACGTCCAGAATTTTGAGAAAAAGTTTGAGTCATAATGAAGCATCACGTTGAAGTCCTGTCAAAAACAGAGGAGAAAATGTTCCAGTTCTCTGAATAAGAACAGAGAAAACTTGCATTCAATTTCAATGCATTTATTTTAGCTGTATTTGGATTTTATTATTGGAATTTTTGGAACACGTATTGTGGGGTGTGTGTGCACCTAGGCATGTGTATTTATCAATGTTTAGGCTCTACATATATGTGCTAGGTGCACATGCACATGTATGCTCATGTATGTGGAGGGTCAATGCTGAAGGTGATGATAGGTGTGTCCTTTGGTCACTGTCCTCTTTATTTGTTGAGGCATGTTCTCTCAGTTGAACCCAGGGCTCATTGAATTGTCTAATCTATCTAGCCAGTTGGGCCAAGGGATTTCCTGTCTCCACTTACTTTTTAATATCAGTATTTACTGTGAAACCACACTGCACAGTAGCTGGAGTTGAAAACAGAATCCTGTGCTGAGGAAAGTACATGCAGAAATAAAAAGAGAAGGGGCTGTGGAGATGACTAGTTGGTTGGTAAAATACTTGCCATGCAAACATGAGGACTTGAGATCAAACCCCAGAAACTACATGAAGTAACTTGGGACTGAGGTACATTTCCTTAATTCCAGTGCTGGGGGTGGAAACAAACTGCAATGGTTAGGTTTTAATTGTCAACTTGTCACCACTTATAATCACCTGAGGGAGGGTCTCAATTGAAGAATTATCTGGACCAAGTTAATCTTGATTGTTAACTGAGGTAGGGGTCCCACCTTGAATGTGACCCATCATGGACCCAGAGCTCAGACTGTATAAGAGTAGAGTAAGTTAGCTGAGTAGCAAGAAGCGAACTAGGATCCATGTGTTTATTCTCTTCGCACCTGACTGTGGTTTCAGTTCCCACCTCTGTCGCTTCCATGCAAGGATGGACTACAACCCAGAGCTATAAGCCAAAAATAATTCTTTGTCTTCTGAGTTGATTTGTGAAAGGTATTTGTCAAAGCAACAGAAATGAAAGGAGAACATATAGACTTGATGCTTACTAGCAAGGCAGCCTAGTCTCTGTCTTGAGTTGGAGGATGGCTGAAGAAGACATTTGGGCCTGTCCTCTGAACTGCACATGTACATATATGCACCTGTGCCTGTATATATGTGTACTAACACATATATTAACATGTACACATACAGAAGCTCAGGGTACCCTAGAGTGTAATAGTATTAAGCAAAGCTTAGTTAAGTAGCAAGCATTAGAACTGACTTAATACATTTAGAGAAAACATACAAATAGATTTGGGAATCAAAAAATGAAAGACTATTTTTTGTCAATTATGACATAAGGAAATAAATAACTTGATGGAGAGATTTTTAAAGACCAATAAGCTCAAAAGGCAGGGAATGAATGTCTATATTTTTTCTGGAAAATGGATGGCCTTTTTATGATATCAAGAAGAGTAATGAATAAGAAGAGATGGTTTCAGTATGAAAAATAACACATAAGAATAGACAGCATTGGAACTCCATGTTTGTAATACCCTACCTGTATAACTATGATATTTTCTGCTATATAAAATTCTAATTCATGTGATCATAGCAAACATTCATAGTTTATTTTAGAGTTTAGAAATACTGAATGAGATTCTAGTGTATATGGTGTGTGTGTGTGTGTGTATGTGTGTGTGTGTGTTTGTGTGTAGGCAAGATGTTGACATTACGCATCTTTCTCACTGATTTCCTACCTTATATTTTGAGAAAGGGGATCCCAGTGAACTTAGATCTTGAGTTATACAGGCTGGGCAATAATCCCTAGAGGTACACCTGCTTTTACTTCCCCAGTTCTGGGATTATAGGTGAGTGTTACGACAATGAGCTTTTTACCTGGGTTCTATGAATCTAAACTCAAGTACTTTACCAACTGAGTAAACCCTCAGTCCCTATATGAAGTTCCAGAGCCTCAATTATACAGCCTGCATGTATTTTTATGACTCAGATACACTAGATTTTGTAACCTTGGACTTTGGGTCTGCATCTTTAGTTAATGATTTTCTATATTATTTCTCTAAGAGTCTTGAGACCATAGACTTTGCTTCACAAAGGTTTTTTGATGACGGAGATGAGAAGATAATGATTATATAGATCACAGCTTTTATAGAAAGAAATGTAGGTAAAAGGAAATGAAAGGAGCAGCATCAAACGGAGAAATCTTCCAATGGGTTCAGTGATGCTGTCTTAGATTGTTGTCACTGAAGGCTGCTCATCTTTTCTTTAGAGATTTTTAGTACAATTCAAGAATGTTAAGTCTGGGTAATACTTTAAATCTAAAGTCACCACCACCCCTACTGTGTGTGTGTGTGTGTGTGTGTGCACGCGCGCGTGTGTGTGTAGATCGGAGGTTCACATTGGATATCTCGTTCAATTGGTCTTTCTTTTATGTTTTTGTTTTTGTTTTGAGATAGGATCTCTCACTGAACAAGAAGATCACTGACTCAGCTAGGCTGGCTGGCCATCAAGCCTCAGGGATCCTTCTGTCTCCACCTCCCAGATTTGGGATTATAAGTTTGTACTTCCACATCCACTGATAAATCATTTACATGGGCATTAGGGATCTGACATCAGGTCTTCATGCTTCTGCAGCATTTTGCTGGCTGACTGAGCCATCTCCCAGCCTCTGCATCTTTTAATTTTCTTAGAAATAAAAGTAGGCACCAAGGAAGAGTGTGAATTGCTCCAGATCCACAGGTTATTAGGCTATGAGGCTGGAATGCAAACACCAGCTTTTAGATTGTTATAATGCTAAGTACCATGGCAAACAAAATTGCCAGAATTGAGAATTGTTAGCAACTTCTATCATTTTTCTCATTGACCTGTGAATGAAGAAAGACTTCCTTGTCCCTCCTACCACTCAGTCTTGAAGTTCTACCAAGCACTCTCAGTTTTCAATATTTGTATTTTTCAATCTTTATTTTCAGAAGCTTAACACCATCACTTAAGCTGAAAGGATTCCTTTAGCAAGTCTCTCCATAGCAGCGAATTTTCGATCTTCTATGTGGCCAACTTAAAACTTCTGCACTGTCATCTTTTTCTTTCTTCTCCTTTTTTTTCTTCTGCTATCAAGTTTGCAGAGGGAGCCTGAGATCTATTTTAACCTAATTGTTTTTGACAGGCCAACTGTACCAAACAGGAAGAAATTATAACCTTTTCAGTTAATTGTTGTGATTACCTAATTAGCATAATGTGCTTGCCTGTCACATGGAGGAGATGCCTGCTGGGAGGATGTGTCTGGTGGCTTGAAGGTATGAAGGGTGTGACTTAAAATTTCAAAATTTCCAGGTAGAGGTGATGTGAGGGAGATTGGGAGGAAGGGAGGGGGAAAGGCTGCAGTTGGGATGCATTGTATGAGAGAAAAATAAATAAATAAAAATTTAAAAGATGAATGAGGAAAATACGGTACACACACACAGACCAAAAACCAAAATAAAAAAAAAACCAGCAAACAGCAAACAAACAAACAACAAAAAGCAAAATCAAACTGTGTGCACATCCAGGACTACAATAAGAGCTGTCCCAGGCCTTGCGTTTTCTGCTGATGAGCAGTGTGTCTCTACACACTCTCTCACACTGTCTCCTTTCTTTGATAAGATCTTGAAAGAAAATAATGAACTTCTAACTTGGTAACTGTTTAGTATGTATGTATGAAGGTTTAATATGAAATATACCCTATAGATTCATGTGTTTCAACCCTTGGTCTCCAGCTGGTGGTGCTGTTTGGAAGGTAATAGAACCATTAAGAGGCTATAACTTACTGGAGGACATGCATCCTTAGTGGTGAGCTAGAGACTTGATGCCCTGGAGTCACTTCCTGTGTTCTTCTCTCTACTTCCTGGCTATCAGCTGGGCCTCACACCTCTGCTGCTCTGCCTTCCCTGCTGTGATGATCCACATCCTCTCTGGCACTGTAATCCAAGATAAACTCATCTCCTATAGTCTGTTTTTTGTCAGTTTTTTAAAAAATTTAATCATGACAATAGAAAATAACTAATATATTGACATACTGAAATTCACTTCATAAGGAAATACCAGGGAAGGCAGCAGAATAGTTTAGCATGGAGGGCACCATATGGTGGAGCAGTTTCCTGGCTTAGTTCTGAACTGCAGGAGTAAAATGGGCTTTCAGTAAAGGGTCTCTGAGCATAAAAAGAAAGCAGGGGATGCATGAAAGAGGAAGATGAGGAAGATGAGGGGAAACAGCTCAAAGAAGGGACCTGTCAGGATGTTGTTTCTCTTACTGCTGTCACCAGAAGACACCTTTACTTTTCACTTTTGTCCAGAAATATTAGAGAGATGGAGGACAGTAGAGACATTCACTGTTCATTTTTTTCTGTGAAAGGATAAAGGATAATAATATCCACATTACAATTTCAATTTCTATTAGATAGAGACAAGGAGAATCAGGACTTTTGATTATATATAGGTCTGGGACCAGAAAATCATGGACATAAAGGCTCTCTTGGTGTTTGCTGTGAGAACCAAATGCTCATTTTATGGGTCCACCCTTGAAACAGTAACCTTATTCTAATTGGCTTTGATATTATTCATAACTCAAAGATAATTAAAGTGTATTCAAAATTTTAGAGAGGGCACCCGAAGTCAAACCCTTACTTTGGACCCCTCATATGTTACCTTCTGTGGAAGCTGTCATTAGGAAATGTTAGGGTAATACCACATGGGCTCTGTCACCCAATAACCTTGTATAATTGTTTCTAAAAGTTAGCAAGATTTGTCTTCATCTCTTCTACAATGTACATGTTAGAGTGTGGAAGCTCCTTCTCATGTAGGACAAAATTGAACAGCGAAACTATAGGTTCCACATTTAAAGTCATTCTGAGGAACCATATAGAAAAAGGACTGAGGAGGTGACTCAAGGTAACATGCTTGCTGTGCAAATATGAGGACAAGAGTTTGGATCCTCAGAACCCCGGATGTGGGCATGTGCATCCTTAAACTTGGCAATCCTCCGTCAAGAATCCCTGGAAGCATA